AAAGAGGGGAAGAGAGCACAGGGAGACTATAGAAGGGAACCGGAGGAGCTTTTAGCAAAACAGAACGAAAAGGAAAAAAAGAAAAGAGCGAGAAAGTAGTAATGCTTTGCCCATTAAGAAGTCCGAAGAGGGAGGGGAAAGAGGACAGGAAGGGAAAAGGAATCTGGCCGGCTTACCTTTAGACGCCAGCGCTGCCGCCACGCACCTCCCCAGACACGCGCTTGAATAGTCCAAGGACACTGAGAACAGAGGAAGGGACTCCCTGAAGGAACCCACAGGAAAGTGTGTAACTCCAGCAAGCGGAGCTCTGGGTGGGTGGGCGGACTCCGATCTCTGATTTTTCCCCAAGGAGCCCGGGCGTCCCGGCTCTGGCCCCGCTGGGCGGCGGGTACCTGAGGGGGAAATGGAGCGGGATCCGCGTCCACCCGGCACTCTCGAAAGGGGTGGAGGACAAGAGGCCTGCTGCTCAAAACCCGGGTCCCAGCCTGGTCTCCAATCAGGGCCCGTGCTGGAAGAAATGCCTGGCCGGACACGTTCTCCCGAGCGGGGGAAATAATGGCCCAAGGTGTTCTCTAGCGCCGAGGGCAGCTACGGTTCACTGTGGTGTCAGGCTGGCATGAGGCTCCGGAACCCGAGTGGTGGGTCAGCAGCGCGTACTGCCTCCTTGCCCCCAGCCAGATCTCAATCTCTCAACTTCTCCCTCTCTCTCTCTCCCCCTCCCTCCCTCCCTCGCCCTCTCCGTCCGCTCTTTTGGAAAGGAAACAGTCACTGTGGATCCACTTGGGACCTGGAACGTGGCTTGACTGTGACGCCTCGTCGGAGGGTATCAACTTGCATTATTTTCTCTAGGACGTCTCCAACCTGTCTCTTGTTGAATGTCAGAGTAATGGGAAGTGCCAGTGACAAGACGGCGTATTACTCCTGATTAAGTGCCGTGTCAACCTAATTAGCAGAGTAATTATAAGGTGCTAATGAATGATTCAAAGTTCTCTGAGTTACATTTTACTCCAAATTACCATTTTAAGAACCCTATGAATCTGAGTGGCTGGCATCGCTTCCGTGACTAGGTGCAGAATGATGGTGGAAAATGGCCTTTTAAGTCTCCGAAGGCTGGGCCGAAATCTGGGGTTTAGTTGCGGTTCTGAAAGTCTCTTTTCGAGGAACTGTTTTGTTCTGTTGAGGACTTGTCTGGGCGGGGGGCGGGGGGGATGTCAGGGAGGCAGATGACCTCCTGGGACAACGTATTGCCTTTCTGTTGGAACTGCATCTGTGTGAGCCCTCGGTCCGGAAGGGGATAGGTGGGAGACTCATCCTTCCTGCGTTTTTCTAGGGAATTCGATGTGTTTGACCCAGAAAAATCCCGCACTGTTTTCAGGGCGTCTTGAGCTGTTTCTTATCATCTTCGTGCATGTTTTCTCACGGGTGGGTCTCCGAGGAGAACAGCGGGGAGAGGGAAGACTGAGGCGAGAAGATGTATCATGCAGGCAGCTCTCGCTTTTCTCAGAAGGCGAGGGGAGTTTGGCGGACGAGCCGGGGTTGGTGAGCCGAGGCGAGGACACGGAACCAGCTGCAGGCAGAGGCCGACGCCGGCCTGAGCGGGTGCGGGGAGCCCCTCGGGAGCGCGTGTTGGGCCCGCCGGGTGGGGTCGAGCCACCCTGGGCAGGGAAGCCGAGGAGAGCCTGAATGATGCCTGGAGCGTAGTTGGATCAGCCGCCTTTGGAGCGAGAACTGCGCACTGGCCAGGCAGATCCTCCTGGGAGCCTGCAGGCCGGGCTTCGGCCTCGCGCCCCAGGATTTCGGAACCAAGGGCCTGGGACTTAAGAGGGCATCTCTCTTATCGAAGGCTGCAGTGTCCCGCCCACAGGGCCGGGCCCCCGGCACGCCTGGCACAGTTGGTTTCTGTAGGAAGGGCGCTGGGGCTGCCTGAAACTGCAGGCGGACGCTACACATTCTTCTCCCTTCAAATATCAATTCGGATTCTTCTCATTAAGACATCACCCACCAACTTCCCGACGGAGATTTCCTCCCAGACCCGGGGCTCCAACCCGCATTTCCCTCGCTGCCTGTTCTGGGTGGGAAGTGGGGAGGGGGAGAAAACAATTTTAAGATCCAGAACGGACGGCACTGCGCAAATCAATTATTCTCGACCTTGATAAATAATTCATTTAGGCCTGTTTTTTGTTTTGTTCCGACGCTTAAAATGACTCAAGAGCTCAACAGGCTGATCTCACAGCTTGTGTTGGGCGGTTCGACAGGATTTTTTGCTTGGAATAATTCACAACATTAGCAGGGGAGACAGAAATATGACCCTACGAAAAAATGAAATCTAAAAAGAAAGGGAGAGAGAAGGTGGAAGTACTGGGGCCGGGGGGGCTAGGCAGAGATAAGGAGAGGCTGGGGGGGGGGGGGGGGGGGGGGGGCGGACTGTTCATTTTGTGAAAACTCTAAAGCAAAGCAAACGGAAGCCCAGTAGGCCCCACCTTGTGAATGTCTCAGATGATCTTTTCTTAAGAAAAAGTTAAGATCGTAGATTTCTTGGAGTGGGATATTAGGATATTAGCTTTGGGGAGCCACAATTGTGAGGGGAAAATACGACCTTGCTTATTATCAAGGTCCTATTTGGGGGTCCCTGCCAGAGAGGAGATGCTAGTAGTGGCCTGAAGATCCAAAAGAGGAACTCAACGACTAGACATCAAACTTAATGAAAACATTCTTCACAGCTGGGGTTTTGTTTTTTAACTTTGCTCAGTTATTTTTTACCCAGACACATTCCTCTTTTGCCATTTTTTTCCTGAGAGTATACATGATGTTTATACCCAAGAAGTCATGCACTTTCTAGAAGAGCAAGCATAATTAACTTTTCGTTTAAAAATCAAAGTTTAGAAATAGAACAGGGTGCAGATCAGTCATATTTTCAATTCCACATATAGGAAAGGAAATGCATTAACTGGCTTAGTCTCAGTTTCCCATTGAATTTAACATACAAAGAAATGTAGTCCCTAAACTGACACAGGTTTGAAAATGATCTTCCACTTTCAGGTCTTCATTTTCTTAAAAATAAACAACAAAGGAAGAAAGAGAATTCTTTAATTTTGGGAAGATTTTGGAATTCCTGCAGAGAAAGCAGTTTTTTTGCCAACTATGACTAATAAAGAACTGTTCCTTCCTGGCTCTGAAGGACACATCAGTCCCGACCACCACTAAAGATGCTCCCTCCCCACTGCAGAGAATGATTCAAACATTCGCATATTTTTACAAGTTCTGTTCTTAATACACTCTCAGTGGTCCTCTTTTACAATCAAGATTTGGTATTTGGGATTGTGTTAAACTGGAGCATCAGTTAAAAAAAAAAAACAGAACTGAACTTTGAAGAAACACACCTATACATTACAGTGAGCTTGGAACTGGTGCTTCTTCCTATATCATATTTAATTTGAACGTTTCTTGGGATCAACTTGGCAATGCCAACTGACAGGAATGGAGTGGAAAGGCACTTCCCTCCACTGGGCGGCGCCAAGAGCCCCGAACCGAGAGAGCCTGCTATTGTTTCTTTTTGTAAAAGAAGCCAGATACACAAATAAGCTCTCCTACTAAGGTTGACTCCCTGACGATAGTGTGACCTCTCGCTGTTTACAAAGCTACAGAAACGTTGAAAGCATACTTTGCTTTTCTTCTTTGTTTTTTCAGCCTATCAATATATTTCCAACTGCTTAAGGATTTGAAGCATATTTGCTTAGGAAAATAATACTAAAGAAAAAGACATGAACACACTGAAACTGAGTCCCTTAAACTGAAACCAAGAGGGTGGAGATTGGGAGCAGAGAGAGAAAAGGTAAAGTGGGAGAAAAGAATAAGGTAACTGAAAACTGTTTTAACAGAACAACAGGTTAAAGTGATAGGCTATGTAATTGCTAATTTGCTAGGGGAATAAAAGTTTTGAGAGCTAGTTCTCGCATCATAATAAAATTTGTGAGCGCTAT